ACAAAGGATTTTTCCTGTCCTACCTACCACTGCTGTGCGATTTTCCCTCAAACAATGGCCATTATCTGAAATAACAGTTCAATGTCACAGATAACAGGCCACCGAAACGAATTAGTCACCACCTCATGTCATTTTCTCCCCCTCCCCACATCCCTCCCTTTTGTTACTATTTTTGTTTTTAAATCAGCATTTTGGGGAAATATAGATCGACTAGATTTACACGTCTATTTGCACTTAGAGAAAACAAAAAGGGACTTGTACCGTCTCTCCGTGTGCAGATGAAGTGGAACATAAATGCGCTTTCCATCCTCTCTCTTCACTCCGCCCCCTCAAGTATCCCTTGACTCGCTTACTTTGCTTAACTTTCCATTGTTGAGCTAAGTTGGATTTTGCCCATTTGTTTTTATGAATGGAGTTTGTGATAAAAAAGCGCTTATTTTCATTTAACCGGTGGATTTCACTAAAATGTCTAAGCTTGGCTAAAGTAAATCCATAGACACTTTTATTTGCCATGCATTCCCTATAGTCTTTCTTCCAGTGTTGTTTCTGGAATGTGTTGATAAAAACAGAGCATATATATTAGAAAATTATTAATCACCGGGTATTACTTGTCCCCTCAAACAACATTCATGAGGTTAAAAGTTAAAAAATAATCTGAGTTATCAAAATTTCTTAATTCCACTTTGGGGCGTTCATGATGTTTCAGTTAATGTATTAAAGAATATGACAAAAACTCACGAAACAATCGTCAACCTCTCTCGGCCCATAATAGGCTATCTGGGGAGGTTATATGCAAATAATGTTTCGGATTTTTAAAGTCCTTCTGAGAAAAATATGATTTAAAAAGTAGCATGCTCTTCTGCTAACCTGTGATAATGGAGGGAATAGAGTAGGAATACTTAGCAAAAAAACTGGAACCGTCTTTTCCAACTTTTTAGGCTACTGTTTCCTGAGAATTTCTAAACTAATGATATTTAGCGTGAGCCACAGTCTCTTTCTTTAAACCTCATCTTCACCCCCTCCAGCAACCCACCCCCATTCTCGAAGCGGACACCCTCACACCCCGAACACATTCTTCCACCCCACCACTCCCATCCCCCCATACACACACACACACACACACACTCTTACACTTGTGCTTTCAGGACACCTAAACAGAGGATATTTCCCTGGGGAAAGAAATCCTGCCTGGCGAGATCTCCCCATTGGTTGTTTACCCGGAGAAATCTACATGTTTAAGGGGGATGGTGCATCCGTAATCAGTCTAACCCTATAGGACTGAGTCTTAGCGACCTTTTTGTGACCTCTCCCGCCAGAGGAGGCTGCTGTCACTTTAAAAATTTACTGAAAGAGGAGCCCGTCTGGCTTCCGATCACTCTGGGGCGGCGGGAGATAGCTCCCTTTCTCCCTCGCCCCGGGTTCTTTCTGGATGGCCGAGCAGATCCTCTTTAAAGAGACAGTTCATGAAATAGAAACCCGGCGGCTGAACTAGGAGTTGCGAAAGGGGACGATCCCGTGAGGGTCTACGACCAGGAAAGGCGCAGCGGAGGATCAGAAAGGGGGCTAGAGCTCCCCTCGCCTCCCCAGGCCCCCCACCTTTTCAAACTCTCCTCCTCCTGCCTGTATCTCTCCCCACCCCACCCCCCCCCACCCCTTTGGAACCGGGAGAGAGAAGTGGAAGAAGTTTTAGTGGGTTTCAGATAACTTTCATTACACATCGGGCTGATAAGAGCAAGAGAAAGTGAGAAAAGAGGGAGGTGATGTGAACCAGAAGGAATAGCTCGGAGCTCATTTAGGAAGGGGGAAAAAAGCCAAAACACACCAAACTCGGGTCACCCAGACAAGCGGAGACTTCATTTCTGGTCTTAAAAATACACTGTTGGCGGACAATAAATCTGAAACGCGTGGTCCTGGCGAGCAGATCCTAGAGACGGACAAAGTTATCAAAGACCATTCGGAAATCGAGACTCGAGGCTGTTTTTTTTTTTTTTTTTAAACATCTCGAAATGTGGCTCGGGATCGTATGAAAGGATTTTCGTGCAGGAAAGCTGGGGGCTGCTGATTATTTTGTTTGTTTTAATTCTTCTGTGATTGCCATTTATTGCTGAGTTGAGGCCATAGAAATCTTAAGGTAAGAGAACTCACTTTAAAAAAAAAAAGTCTTGGCGATATGCATAGTTTGTTACTTGGGACAGTTTCCTGCCTTGGCACCCCTTCTCCGGGGCGCCCCCCGCCCCCCAGGCTTCTTTTCCCATTTGCCCGCTGTCTCGCGGAGCCCTGTGCTTATCTACGTTGCCGGGACTGCCGATTTCCTTGTTCCTTCTGTGCACCGGTGCGGTCTGGACGCGTCTCCGGGGTGGGTCGTCCGGCCTTCGGTGGGTCTCTCTGCCGGCTGTCGGCCCTCCTTTCCTCGCGCTCTTCTCCTCTTTCCCCTCCCTCCATGTGTCTGTCCGTCGGTATCAGGGACGCAGAAGGTGGGGTTGCCAAAATCTGAATTCCTGGCACCGGCCACGCGACTTTGGAGCCGATTTCGGCCGAGTTCCACCTTGCCAAGTAACAGCTTTGCTGTCCAACATCGTGTGCTGCTTCGCGAGAAAGTCACATTCGGACCCTTTGGCTAGGTTGTGGGGATTTTTTTTTTTTTTTTCTTTCGCTGTTGGTTTTTTGAAAGGGCCTTTCTCTAAAGTCCACCTAAAGGGAATTTTTTTTTTAAGCTATCTTTGGAACTTGACAGCTTTTAAAAACACAGGAGTGTGTTAGATGAAATGACGGAAGATGTGTTGTTACTTTATTTTATTCAAGATTTCCGAGACGATTAAGACATTTGGGAGACAAATGCAGTTCTGTTAGCAAATCAAAAGCGAATAATTCACCAAGGGTCGGGGGCGGGGTGGGGGGGGGGGTAAAGGTTTCTGGAGAAAGTTAAGCTTTTGTCTTGGGGCAAGAATACAGGGAATAAGAAAGTTAATATGTTGGTGAAATATTTGAATAATCATATTACATATATGTAAGAAGACATTCTTTGGAAATGAACCTGTTTTTAAATTAATTTCACTGCTGACAGCGGCAATGGCAATAATGTTAACACGGAGTAAAATTACACCTAGTATTTTTATGTGCAGTATATGCAATACTTAACTCTCTGCCCTCGCAAAAAGGGAATGCTGGAAAGCTAGGGGGATAGATGATTTTTGACTTTGAAATTAACAAGTTTTCCACGTCTTTCTGCAAATATGAAATGGAACTGGTGTTGCATTTCACTGACTTCACCCTATTTCCTTCATTAAATATTTCTCTAGTGTGTCAGTAAAACTGCTTTTTTTTTCCTCCCGCTAGTGAAGAAAATAAACAACAAAGATCAACCAGAAATCAAACAAACCAAAAAACAAAACAACAGTCCCAACCTTTTACTATTTTAAAGTGTGTATTGCTGTTGTTATTTATAATACTTCCAGACATTTGAGGAGAGGGTGAATCTCAAGTTGCCATTTAAGCTGCTTAGCAGTGAGAGTTGAAGAAAATAGCTTAAAGTTTGTAATTTTTATCAATGAGAAATTGTTCAAATCTGTTTTCACTAGAGAGGCTATTTAATATAGATTTTGTGGTGTTCTTAGTGTGAAAGGTGTCCTTGAAAAAGACTTGATGTGTGTGGATGTGTATGTGTGTGTGTAGCAGTTATTACTCCTATCTTATGTTTCAATTTTTCTTTTTAAAATTATGGGACTACTTACTGCCCTTTACTTGCCTCATGGCCAGAGGCATATTCATAATGCCTCTTGACTAGAGCCCTCAGAGCACTGGGCTTCTTGAAGTTTGTGGTGAGTTAACCACTTGAATCTGTAACTGAGAGATTACCTGAATTCTGTGCAAAATTGCTTTTGGTCTATACATACCAGAGTTTAGTTTTAACTTTTACAGGTATAGATACAGCAGAGTTCTGAGGGGGAGGGGGTTATTCAATTCATCAAGTAATGTTCTGGACTATATTGTTTAGTCTTTGATAGGAAACGTCCTCAAGTTTGGGTTAACTGATTGACATTAACATTACCAGACTTTCTAGTTATTCACCATCAGGTCAACAACTCTGCAGCTTTTAATATTGGTGTTTAACAACATTGCTGCTAGTGAATCTGAATAGCCTCCTTTAAGTAGACACAACTTTAAAAATGGACATTTCCCATTTCAGTTTTAGTTTAATAAGTATCCTGAGTAGTGATTAATATTTAACATAGGTCAAATGTAAAATCTCATGAAAAATAACAATACATAACCATATATAATGATGGCAATTTATCACAATATTTTTATATATTTTTTACTTGTACACAAGCCAGTTTTGGTGTTTAACTTACAAAACATTAAACTGAAATATGCATTGGCATAGGGTACCTAAAACTTTAGGTTGACATATTTTGCACAAGTGTTTACCAATTATTTATTTTCATTTGTTTTTCTTTGGTCAGTAGCATCAGTGAGACAAATCTTACTCTCTTCTTCAGATAAGGGTGTGATTTGTTTCATTGTAGTGCAATACAAACTAAAAAGGAATTTGACAATATTTAAAGTTTTAAATTGCATTAAAGTACAAAAATGTGAAAGTATATACTTACAAGGGAAGACTATCTTAACATAAAATATTGACTTCTACAGTTTAGAAATATTATGTTAATATATGGTGTTCAATATCTTTTTTTGTAAAAATCACGTTGGACAAAATAGCACTCTTTTATGCAAAATAAGGAATCTGACATTTTTGAAACCAATTGATCAGTTTTTGTAGCAATTTACAATTGCTTTGTTCCTTTAAAAGCAGTACCGCTGCCACTTCTAAGATAACTTACTATTATTCCTTCTGTATTAATATGCATGATGTCTGACTTCTTTTCTCATAAGGATATGAAGTAGGAAACATACATTTGAATAAAATATTTTCAAGCAATTAATTATTCTAATGAATGAACTGATATAGAAATCGATTGTTCTCATCTTCTTCTTTCTAGATCTTAGATGAGTTTTGCAATGTGAAGTTCTGCATAGATGCCAGTCAACCAGATGTAGGAAGCTGGCTCAAGTACATCAGGTTCGCTGGCTGTTATGATCAGCACAACCTCGTTGCATGCCAGATAAATGATCAGGTATGTTGTAAAGATTTTCTTGTCTTTCTTGGAGAGCATTAAAGTATCAGTGAAGCCTGAAGAATAAAAATAACAGTGAGTTGCAGTAGACCCTTGTGGCCTGTTTTTTGATATGGTGAAAGGTAATGCCCAAATATAAGATGCAGAATAAAGTAATTTTCAGTATTACTTTCTTTCAGTACTTCTTTTTTGGGTAGTTTCTTTACTTTGTGCTAGTAAAACTTCAGAAATGCTCTAGTTGTCTGTGTATGACTGAATGATTTAAAAACTGAATACTACTTATTAATAGGTATTCTTTACCAGTTTTTCTTTGCCTTCATAATAAGGAGTCATTCATACAAAGTACTGAACTAATCAAGAACACTGAATTTTTGCAGAAATTGCAAGCGATACACTTGAAATATATAGATTTTATTTTAAGTAGTAGGTAGATATAGATGTATGATCTATGTGTGTGCTTATCTGATTATGCATTTGGTTTGCTTAATTATAAACAAGAAACACTTTTAGATTAATCAAATACATTTTCTGTTGTTGTTGATGTGAATAGTTTGAAAGTATCACTGCTGGAAATTGCTTTATGGAAGCTCATGCAGTGAGGTTAACTTTAATAACAATGGCTATGAAACAAGATCATGAAAATATCATGAAACATATTTTGCACTCAATAAAGTAAGGTTATGAATCTTGTAACTTAGTACGATAATACCTAAAACAACAAGAAGTTCAACCTGTTAATTTGTGTTTTATAAACATCATTGGGTTAGAATATAATTGTACTATCATCATTTATTTCTTTTAAACCAATGGTTACCTAAATCAAGTATGTTTCAAAGATCATATTAAATTGGTTGCTTGGCAAATCTACTATAAAAATCACCACCAAGAAAAAGAAAAGTTTAAATTAGATGTTTCCAATTGAAAGCTGGTAAGTAATGCTAGCATCATATGGTCTATGACTCTATTTCAATCATTGTTATGAGATTATTCTTTGGCATTTAACCAGCTACCAGATAATTTTTACTGACTAACCTGTATAAGAGGTAGTAAATTATAAAATTCACTTTAAATGGGAATCATTTAAAAATCTTCAACATATATCAAAAGTAATAAACCAATCAATTGTTTTTTCCCTTTGCCGTAAGAAAACAAGAGGCATTATTGGAACAAAGTAGATCATTATTAAATTAGCTATTGCTTATGAACGGAAAATATCCCAAGTCTATCATATGAGTTACTGTCACCATCAACAACAAACATTTTTTGAGCACTGACTATTTTGTCGATGTGGGAAATACATAGGTATTATAAATGGATGAATTGTGCATGTGATGTTTCTTTAAAAAGTAACTGGAACTCCTCAAAAGGCAGTTTTAAGATGAAATAATATAATTATATCATAATAATTATTTGGTATTCATATTTACTGACAATAAGAGCTATTTCCTTAAACAGACAAAACTTGTAGGACTGGTGAAAAGATGGTTGAAGAATGAGACTTGTGGATAATGTATTTTTTTCATTTAATATTTATGTCTAATTTTTTTTTATAAATATGCTTTTGTCCTTGGGAATTGTGATTACATTAAAAAGGGAAACTATTTTGTTATTCATAAGTATGAATTAGTTTGCTTATTAGAGTAGGCAGTTATAATTTTCATGTGGTTACTTTTGAGGTTCACATAGTAAAATGCATTGCTTTCAAAAGAAAATATGCTGGTCTCATATCTTAATGAATAACATGTTTATGAATATTTTAACTGAAGAATCAGGGAAACTAGCTAATTAGGAAAATCATAAAAGACCAATATTAGACATATACTATTATTTCTGTAAGTTCTCATTTTAAACTTATGTATTGTGCTGGAGAAATCTAAAATGGTAACAGAGTGCATATCAAATAACATAGTTGTGAAATTGACATTATATGGTCAAGTAAGTTCACCCATAAACAAGAGAGGAAAGTCAGAAGTAAAAGTCAGATTTGTGTGATAGGCATATATGCATACAATCATACTTAACCCAGTTTACAAAAGAGAGCAGACACCAAAATTGTGTGTGTATATATTGTAAACATACTCATCTTTAAGTCTATATGCATCTTTTCTAAAAGTCATTTAAGACTGGCAATTCCAGTCAGCTTTGAAATGTGAATGATAAAAGAGCTGACTAAAGAGATTCTCTAGGTCTATTTTTTCACTCTTTTCCGTGAGGAATAGGAGCTGCCAAATGGTGAATAAGCATAACTCATCACTTAATGAACGCTCCCATTGTGTGAGATATTTAATATCCAGGCATAAAGAGACACCCTAGATCAGGAGTAATTATGAGACATGAACAACATCAACTCACCTGCCCAACACAGAAGCAAATGAAGCACTTGACCAGAAACTGTAAAAAGTGTTTCTCTTTGCTCTGATTCTTAGATAGAGCTCAAGTTTATAAAATGAATTTTCAATAAGTCCAGGACTATAAAAAAGAAGAATTTTGGAGGAATCTTTCAACTGCAAGCTAGACACTGTGATAATTAGGTTACCTAGCAAAGAAAGATGACCTAAAATAAAAAAGAGGGTATAAATTACTTATCTTTACTTTTGCAAAGATATGCATTTTAAAAAATTCTAATATTAAAGATCAAGTTTAGTCCATTTGCATCAGTTTTATAATGATGTGAAGGAGTTTTGTGAAACAGAAAGAATGTGTCTGCTGAAGATGATAATGCAGTTTAATAATAGTGGTACAGTCAGAACATGCATCCTGGATAAAACTCATATTTGATTTGTTTGGGGGTGATGAAGTACTTAGAAACAGCCTGGATTTTGACTTTCAGGTAAAGTTGATAAAGGATGTGATCTGTTTTGTATCATAAAAACAAAGGCTATTCAGTGAACATTTTCCTAATACCTCTCTACAAGCATTTTATTTGAGGGGATTTTCCTGCGTTTAAATCTTCCAATAGATTTCTGCAAGTTGTTTTATTGCAGATTTTTTTTTTTCCAGGCCAGAGTGAGCTTTGTGGCAGCTTTCTTTCTTAACAGTGCTCCCTAGAAGACTCAAGTTTGTTGTTTTTAGATATCTTTTTTGTTGCATGTTTTCAGAATTGTTGCAGTGCCTTTTTTTGGAGATAGAAATTCTGAAAACACTGGCGCCCTTGATAAACCATAATTTCTAAGTAGCTGCAGCTTCTGACTAATATCCTTATTCCCCCCTGAAAATAGTATATTAGCTATAGTAATTTACCTTTGTGAATGAAGGCTGCACCAAAGACACTAGTAAATTAAGTCACACTCTAGTCATAAAAGAGTAGATCCAGTAAAAACACCCAAGGTTCTTTATCCTTGAAATCCTAATTATCTTTTCCCTTATTCCATAAAGTTTCTTTATAGTGTTACATAGCTACACTGCTATGGCACAGCTTTTAGCTGGAAATATTTACTGAGAGAGACAATGCTTCGGTACAGTATTTTCGTATTTTAACAGTCTGAATTGTTCCTGGTTGTGGGTACAGACCTGGCACTGGGAAGTAGCTCAGGGCAGGAGCAGAGGCAGAATGTTGGATGATGAAAGTTCTTTCCAGAAGAGGTCCTCAAGAGGACCAAATGTGCAGAGGAAGCATGAAAATCGTTTATCAATTATTTAGAAGTTTCATTACATATGAAAGCACTCATATGTCTAATGTCAGGTATACCAAACACCTAGATGATTTACTGGGTGTTTTGTTTTTTTTTAAATCTGGATTCTCTGATGTCCTTTTCTTTGACGTCTTGTCGATTCCTTACTTTTACACCCATTCTGATGGATGGGTAAAGCATGTTGCATTAGGTTTGGTCTCACCCCACTCCCACCTTTGCCTCCATTCTTGGAGAAGTTTCCTCAGACCTCCATGTTGCCATACCCATCACCTAGATTAAAGGCAAGAGGATCCACAACCCATGCCCGCCCCCTAACACCTTCCCATCAGGCCAGCTCTTATCTCGGACATGTTCACAAGCTTAGTGTACTTATGAAATAGCTCTCTGGACACAAGTTTTCCTCTAATACTTCTTCATGGTAAAATCATTTTGGTTGTAATCAGACAGATCGCTAAGGCCCTATTCATGAAAGTGAACTTTTTCGACTAACACAAGACTTACCTTTCCTCTCATGATTCCAAGAGTGATCTGGGCATGTACTTTGGGGTAATGTTTTATAGCTATGTGTGTATTCTGCGCCACAGAAAGGAACACACTTTTATTCAAGCTCCTGGCCTGCCCTAACATGGTCTACAAGTGGAATAAAGTTCTCAGGAACCTAAGACATTATTAATCTTGTCATTTACACAAGGTGATAAGTCCTTTCATTTTTAAACAGGCCCTTGACAGCTGGTATTTAGTAAGTAGACTAAGAGAAGTCTGCCGTTGACTCTAAAGAAAGCGAAATGCATCGATAAGAGATTGTCTAATGCCCAATGTATATTTTGAAGAAGTAAGACCTAGAAGAAGCAGTGCCCCTCTGAGAATGCATAGTCAGAATTCCCTTAAGGGATGCTGCCAGCTCCCTTGTGGCTGAGGAACAGCAGCAAGATCCTACAGTGTTTTCAGCTGGAATAGGCATTGTTCTCGTTTGTGCTTTACCTTATAAAGTTTTAACTGCTTCCAGGACCATCAGGGCTGAGTGGCATACCCGCCCTCCCTCTCCTTGGGTCCAAGTCAATGGTGCTATCAGCCTCCTGGGACACTACAACAGTATTATTATTGCAGGCTTATTATAGGCTCGATTATCAAGTTATTTTCTTTGGCTTTGAGAAAAAAAAAAGCATGCCTGCATCATTCAATTAATGCAATTTGTGCAAAAAAGCAGGGGAGATCAACTACATAAAAGCAGAATATAGTATCTTAGTCTCCTTCTACTTCTTTTTTTTTCTTTCTACTTTTTAAACATGTTTGCATCAAGTGTCAGGTAATTCGTTAATTTGCTCTTCCTTCAGAAGGATTTCTGTCTGCATTTTCTATGACCTCTTT